CCTTCTTATCGAAAAACAGCTAAGAGTACATTTCTGCTTGGTGAAAAAAAACAGGTAGTGTGGTCCCCATACAGATAGACTCTATACATAAAAGGAACCTAGTACCGTAATCTAGTCTAAACTAGTTTAGTAGAGTAAGCAAACAGCAATTATATAAGATTGGTAAAAAAATAAAAAGAGTTTCATCAAATTCTAAGATTTTGAAATTTTTTTTAACCAACAATTGACTTTTATGAAAAATTCGCTCTCCCAGAACACCAACGTAAAATAACCACTCGAATGTCGGTGTCATTTTGGCCAATATGGCGCATCTGTCGAGCACTTTCTGAAGTACTAAGTAAGTATATAACAAGTATACTAAGTATATATATATATATATATATATATATATATATATATATATATATATATATATATATATATATATATGTGTGTTATATATATCATATATATGTTACAAACAGTTTGCTATCACTCGACGCCATATTATGGCGTTTGACAGATGAGCATATTATTTGAGACGCCAGAATATGGCGTTTGAACAGACGAGAGGATAACAGCAACAGCAACTGTTTGACTCACGCTACACCGTGTCGGGTCCTAGCCGAGTGTCGGCCTGTAGCACGGTCAACTAATATTACATATAATTTGTATGGACACACTCAGGCTATACCGAGCGGAAACCGAGTCACGGCTGAGCAACGGACAACTCTCGGCAACAACTCGGTAACAGCTTGTAGTTGAAGAATTGTCAGATTCTTCATCGTCCAGAGCGATCGTAATAGCCGCTAGTTCCAGATCGTCAAACTTCAACTTGATTGTAGTCTAGTTATAACACTATTTTTACTCGGACGAGTTTACTGTATCACGGCACATCGTTAATTCAGTTTGTAATTTCAGGCACGCGGCCGGCTCGGTGACCGTGCCACGACCCACACTCGACTCGGACCCGACTCGGTCTAGCGTGAGTCAACCTTAATGCTGCTGTGTTTCGTATGATGAGCGTAGAGAACCGAAAACTCCTTATTACTGGAAACGAGGTATGCTATCTTAGTCCTCAGGAGTAAAAAGGCATCTTCATTTTTCGAGAATTAATCGAGAATAGATGAAGAATGTCCAAGGGCCACAGCATTCATTTACCATCAAGCGGACCTGTGTCCTGTGTGTGAATAATGTGTGTTCGTTTGTCGCATTTATTCGATAATGAAGTAGTAGTTCAAAGAACTAAAAAGGATATATAATAACAAATTCTGAATTAATGCTTACAGAAGAATTAAATCATTAAGCTCACAGATTTCAAAATGCGAAATTAGATTTAAAAAAATTTTTACTCTTTTGAGTAAACTAACAAATATCAAAATTGTTTAAATAGTCGCATTACAAGACTCTAACCTACTTTACCATTCTTAGAGAAAGTATCATCAATTAAAAAAAATCAATGAAATTGGTTCAGAATTAAAGAAGATACCGCGTAACACACATTCAGAAACATCAAATTGTAAATTCACTTTTTCAAAGTGGTTTAAAAAGGTTAATGTATTTTAAAGCATAAAAGACACTCATAAAGTTGTGTAATAATCGCAGTTTTTGACTGTAGTAAATAAACTAGACTAGACATGCCAACAGAATGAATAAATTTCAAACAGGCAAAGCGTGCTCTGCAAACTTATTAACAAAAAAAGTATTATAAAATCAACAGTTTGAATAATTTAATTTATGAAAATGGACAATAGTGAAAGGCGAGTAGGCCATAGAGTTTGCATAATTAGGCACTATGCTTTCTTAGCCGACTTTGTCCTAGGCAATAGATATATTGAGACAATTCTTTTTACTCAAAACGAGGCATTCCATCTAGTATAGTAGTAGTCATAGTCCTCAGGGGTTGTAACACATCTGTATTTTGGTTCTTAATTGTGGATAAATGTAGATGACTATGGGCCACAGTTAGGGTTGCCAGATGGTCGGGATTCGTCTGGATTCTCCCGACATTTTAAATGATCTCCCGACTCCCGACAAAACTCAAAATCTCCCGACAATCAGCTCCTCCAAAGTTCTATAGAAAATAATAATTTAAAATTACCGCGCACTTTCACGTTCACTCCATTTTCGAAAGGAACGTTTGCGTTGGACCTAGCCCCGGCCCATGTTAAACGGAGGCTGGGGGCAGGTTGCGTGGCATGAAACGGTGGAATGCTGTAAGCTGTAACCCCGCGTTTGCCCGATTCGTAGGTTTACACTATTTCACAGCTTCTAATAGTAACGTAGGTAGGTATCAAGACGCTATTGGCTTAAGGAAATTATTGACACTAAATTCGAATAGGTATTTTTTTTTGTGTTTTATCTGCGTTATTTACTTATGATTTCAATTTTAAAGCATGTCACATTGTCGAACGATTTTATGGTAGCTCAATTTTAGTACCTACACATGTATTTACGCGCGATTATGCGCCATATGCACAAGGACAAGTCGTTACCGAACTTAAGGACAGTGAGTATTTTTCGGTAGAAAGCGATGTTTCTAATGTTGGAAACATCAGAACCTATCCTTAGGCTGTGCAATTTTTTAATACAGAGACAGGGATATCTAAAAAGCTGCTAGATTTTTATGTGGATCCATTTGAATCGTCAAAATCAATCGTATATATATGTATACATATATCTTAATATATATAAATTACGTCTCACGTTGTTTGTCCGCGATGGATTTCTAAACTACTTAACCGATTTTAATGAAATTTGCACACCGTGTGCGGTTTGGTCCAACTTGAGAGATAGGATAGTTTTTTGCCCATGAGTAATCCACAACTTTTTATGCGAATTTAAAGAAATTTAATAGGACATGAAATTTTAATTGTCTCGTATAAAGGCAGAACAACGTCTGCCTAAATCTATGTATATATCTTTTTTCTTTCTTTCTCTTTCTTTGTCAGTTCAGTTTTATAAAAAGTTATATTATTTTTTGTTTTTTAAATAACGAAATACTTTTGTGCCACCTACCTATCAAAGGGTGATTTTCTGGAAAATTTATAAATCAACTTTTATCTTTTAAACCACGCTCCTTACCCCAGTCAATCAAAAGTGCTCAATCATTAAATGTGTTCAAGAATCGTATCTATTATTATAAACAAAACAGTGACAGAAGATAAAGATTTAAAATAGACTCAGTTGACTGACGACTGAACTTTGACGAAAATTGTTTAAATTTTAAATCTTTTCTGAATTCCACTTAAGGAACCCTAAAATTAAGTGTAGTTACATTAATTACCTGTCAACTATGTTAAGTATATTTGTAGCCCATTAATTTAAAAAATAATATTTTTGTTTTACATTTTTATTTTTAACATTTATTTCTCCCGACAACAACCCCAAAATCCCGACATTTTCAAATTTTATCCAGATATTTTGGTCTTCCGATCTGGCAACCCTAGCCACAGTATCCAAGTGCCTTCAGGTGGACTGTGTGCCCGTTTGTCACCATATCTCTAAAAAATATCTTATGAACTACTAGCTGGTAGGACTCCTCTGTTTGGAGTCCGTCTCTGCTGGCACCACACTTTTCTATTTGAGTACTCATCTACATTCCAATTTGATGCTTATAGAGTTATTCTATCTTATTTCGCAGAGGTGACAAAGTATTAGCAGCCTTCTTTATTAGAAGTTGGTTGCAGGTGACCATGGACTGCAGTAACCACTTACCATCAGGTGGACTGTCAGTTCATTGGTCACTTCAGTTTTTTTTTATATTCACTACGCAAGACATTATATAATAGTGTCATAAACGTACGCACAATGTCAAATCAAAAGACGATCCTTAATCCTCTCAACTGCGGGACAGGCTCGATAGGGAAGAGCAATGTTCGTACAGTACGAGTATGTCTGTCTGTTTATTTATAGAATAAAAGTAAAGTTACAGACTACGTATAGTAGTATATACGTCCCTCTGCTGTGCAAAGGCCTCCCCTCATTTCTGGGAGGGTTTAGGGCAAGGAAGTGTCCGCCGCGCTGCCCCAATGCGTGTTGGCGAACTTCACATGTCTTCGAAATATTTTGTTTTTCTTATTCCTCAGACATGCAGGTTTCCTCACGACGTTTTCCTTGACCGTCGACGTGGTAAATCAGCACTTAAAATTGCATTTAACAATTTCATTGGTGCCGGCGGGGATCGTACCCGGGTTACTCGCGTTCTGTTATATTTACAGCGAGCGTTAACTATCTGAGCTACTACGGCTCTTATAGAATAAGGGTGACAAATGAGCACACAGTCTAACTGGTGTTATGTGGACGCTGTGACTCTTATACATCTATAGAATCATTCTTCGATTAAAATTCGAAATTAAGATGGGTTGTTACCCTAAGGACAAATATTAAATGCCTCCCTGCCCGTATTAATATGGCTTTCAATACTCACCGTACGGAACACAGAGCTACGTTACGTCAGTCTTCTGTGAGAGCGTGGTCATTTTGCAATAAAACCAAACCATTCGTGCTACAACTATGAACGTGTGCGTTATTACCCCTGAGGACTAAGACTAAGATGATATACCTCGTTTCCAGTAAAAAGCATATCCGGTTCCCTGCACTCACCATACAAAACACAGCAGCATTAAGCTGCGATATTCTGTAAGAGCGTTATTCCCCAGTCTAGCCGGCTCTACCAATTATACATTGCGTTAAAAAGCAGTGTAAATATTTAAAAAGACAATATAACCAACGATGTGTGTCAAGAAACCAAGCTACGTTGTTCAATATGTATCTGACAAGTCCTAAACGCGATTGAAATATCAATGGTCCGGTTTATCTTCCTCGATCGTTCTAAGTGGGTAAAAGCAGTTATGCACGCCTGAACGACGAGATTGGTCTCGTTTTGTTTTAAGTTAGACACAAATCACTTTAAATTATTTCTGACCGTCATTCCACGAAGTCGAATAACATCCTTCGTTCTTTTATACACTTGTATAATGTTTTTTTTTTTTTATTTATTTAAAAAAGAGATATTAGCAATGTTATTAACAGTTGAGTGTTTCACGTCAGTATTTGAGTCGAGTCCAGTCCGCATGTAACCTTAAGATGCTGTAACTAAGCAAAAAAAAGGGAGGGGGGGGGGGGAATTCGAAGCACATAATTGAGCGTCATTTTACGCAAGAGTGTTTGTTGCATTGTTTCAATGCACCTGCATTTCATTGTATAGTCGCGTGATGGGGACCGTACCGACGCTTTTCAATGTTTAAATATCGAAAGTACTTTTTTTACCATCCACTTATTTTGTAAATTTCTTAGTTTTTAATGGCGTTTCCCTGACAAACCTAGACTATAACCTCAGAATATTAACGAATGTAATAAACTAACTGAAACAGAGTCTAAACTATATATACGCAACATAGTCATATTTTTTTTATTTTATCATATTTTGCGCATAATAATATTTAAATTATACTTAATGATTTCTTATACTTACGCGAACACTACACATTGAATTAAACTACTTTTACGGATTTTACCGCGTTTTATTTATTTTATTTTTAATACCAGACGTTTTGGGGGCTCTCCAGCACCCATGCTGTCACGTGCCTGTGCACCCATGGTCCCCGTGACCATACGGATCAGGTCCTTCATCATCTCATCAGGAGTAGGACCAACGCGCTTCCCAAGACACGGTGTTGATAAACCACCTACCTCCTGAGAAACTGAGAATTTCTTGAAAGAAAAAGTCATTACATTTCGTTGATGATAATGGAATTGATGGTGCTTCTGTCTGCTACCTTACTTGAGTATTTATTTAGAGAATTCAAATGTCTTCAATATATATATATATATATATATATATCTACAAAAAAACTCCTTCATCGCCCATCCCGTGATTATTGGCTAAAAAAATATATTCGTGAACAGCCATAAGGCGAATGAAAAAAAGTTTAAAGAAGTGGCAAATAAATACTGCCTTTTATAATATCAATGAATTCTTTATTAAATTTTGATTTTATTTTTAATGTTTTTGCTTAACTAAGTAAATCACTATAGATACAGGATTTTGCGTGTACTCCTCAAATAAACAAAAAGTAATTTTAGCATAGTTTTATATTATATTGTAGCATTTCAGCAAAGCAGAACCAGTTTTGAATGAATCAGCACGCTTTCTTCGTTCAAATAAAACATAAAAGTGAGGCAGGGAACAGACTATGCGTACCTTTCAGTTAGATAAATAAATGTTGTCAGCAAGGGCTACGTCACTAGCGTCATTGTCTAATTGACAGACAGGAGAAACTCAGACCGGTATTGTGCTATGGTCAGTGACATCTGAAGCCGTGGTTGAGCGGTAGAGGCTCGGCGCTTTAAGATTTATTAGTTAGCAACTCGAGTTCAATCTATAAAAGACCACTGAAACGATACGATTGCAAGTATTTGACGATGTAGTCAATTGAAAACATTTTAAGAGTTTTCAAAATAAATCTTCTCCCATAGAAACTGTTTGAGATTGGGTGCTTGCGCTAGCGCTTGTAAGCAAAATGGCGATCGTAAGCGGTAAGCGCTGTCAAATCGTAAGTAGCTATTTTCCTCCAGGACACGATGTTAGTTTTAACCGGGGAATCTAACCTAATTTAAATATATGTTTGTAAAGTATTCATATTAGAAACTTACCAATCATGAGTTTTTAATAGCATGTATATGTTTATTCATGTCATTATATTACTTAAAACTAATATTGCACAAAACAACTTATAAACTAAAATATAAAATGGCGGATTGTGTCAGCGCTACTGAAGTAGCAATCGTGTCCTGGCCGAAAACTATTTTAGCGCTTATAAGCGCTTGCTAGCGCTTTTTTCTGCCAAACGCACCCATTATGTACGAGTAGTCAAAACAAAGTCTCACATAGATATGAGAATACGGAGAACATAGAGTAATGACACTGCAGCTTGTTTTATAGTCGCATAGATATCTTATCAATATATTTTAAAGACTAAACATTATATTTAAATATAAAACAAAATCGATCAAATTTTAAGACACTGTTAAACATAGCAAATTAAAATTACATTATCTTTAAACGCCCTAATGATACCGTGAGGCGAAACTTTTTGGTTTTTATGGTAAGCTAACTACTCTGCGCATTGCTGCCGTAGAAGAAATAACTGTGAAATATCCTTTCAAATTTGGATGTTATATTGTTTTATTAGGAATGATAATAGATTCATTGAAAATGAATGACATATGACTTTTTAATAAATTTGTCGGTACGATACATGCACCATCTAGTGTAAGTTAATTGTACTATGCCTATAAGCTTCGAGCAAGTGCTAGCAATAAGTTGACTAAGTTTTAGCGGAATCTGATGAACGGTATGAAAGCGGTAGGGCATAAAATACGAACAAAAAACATTAATTTTCATATTTTGGATAAATACTTAAATAATTTGAAATAATATTGTGAAACAAGTACAAGTGCTTAACCAAATTACAAAAATGAAGACGAAGTTTCACCAAGCGACAACAATCACAAGTAGTATAAATTACAAATTACATTACGAAGTTTTATACGTGGTAGAGCCACGATGCAGCTATATTATGGTTGTAGCACGAATGGGTCGACTCGACTGGGGAAGGACCCCGCTCTCACAGAATACCAGCGTCAAATAGCAGCTTAGTAGTGCAGTGTTTCGTATGGTGAGTGTAGAGATCCGGAGCCCCTTTTTTACTGGAAACGAGGCATTCCATCTTAGTCCACAGGGGTGAAAACGCGTCTGCGCTTTGATTCTTAATAGAGGATAAATGTAGATGTCTATGTGTCGCAGCATACACTTACCATCAGGTGGACTATGTATTTTTTTTTTTTTTTTTTTTTTTTTGGGGAAAAGCCACCCCCCCACGGGGGGCGCCAACGCTCTCACCAAAAAAAAAAAAGGGTTACACAAAACACACCCCTTATTTTTCGTTTGTAACCCTTACTTTAAAAAGAAAAAGATGATGGTGTGGACTATCTAATGATAATTTGTGATCTTATAGTGATTTTTGACGTAAATATAACCAGTGTTTTCACACAATTAATTTGTTTGTTTTCCAAGTTCATTTCATAAGAACATGGCCTTGACCATGAAGGAATTCTTAAAGTATTTGGTTGGATAAGAATGTATGGCGAGAATAACTTCTCCGATTGATCGTAGAACTTTAACCGATCTATCATGACTGCTTATGTTAAAGATTTTTAACAGAAGTTTTTTAAGATTTAAAGTTTCTAAAATATTTCTTAGTCATGACCAATCAACTTAAAATTTGCTTTTATATAACTATGAATCATATCATTGAACAATACATAGTAAAGAGAATGGGTTACCATTTTAGCTTTGAATGGAATTTGGGGACATGTTGGATAAATAATTTAATCCAACCATCCAACTAAGTAGCTTTTTTTTATATATAGTGTTACCTACACTAGTATTTTCTCCTGTATCGTAGAGGCAGTTTACATACATAAATTTCACAAGGATAAACATTCAGACCCGAAGCAATTATTTGTGGGACATACAAATCCTTGATCCCTGCAGGAGTCGAACCGCGGCCCTCAGCGCTGCAACTCATTGCTAAGCCACTGGGCGACGGAGTCGTCACTAAATCCACGGAACTCATAAAAAATATTCCTGTAAATAAGATAACGACCATGCAGCGGTGGAGTCACGAGCAAACCGTTATGCTTATTAAACAAAGAGATGCCGTGAGAATCGGCAAAGAAAAAAATTAAGTGCCTATTGTAAAATTAAAGAAGCTACATCAGCAAATATATTTCGTTCGTAAATACTCCGTGTCCGAACTCACTTGATATTTTAGCCGACCTCGAATAAAGGGAGGTTTACAAGTCAACTGTAATATGCTTTTGTACATTATGTGTTTTACGCGATGGACATCTTCGTCAATTCTGAACCGATTATGATGATTCTTCTATTGTTTAATAGATTATACATTAGAGATGGTCCCATATTAATTTGGAGAAGAAATTTCACTCCTAAGGGTGGCAAAATAATGGATGCATTTGATACATCATTCATTAGTTCACTGAAAAGAATAATAATATCTTGTAATAAAAAGTTAAATTTGATTAATAAAATAATTTCACATTACGAAGTCGAATCACTTTAATTCTCATATTGCTCTTCAAACTAGGTAAGATACATCATTTTATTTAATTTAGCGGATGGTTGCAAAATAACTATTAATATAATTAATTCTTCAGTTATCACTCAAATTTTCACTTTGCCTTAGCACAGACTAAAAGATATAAAAATTTTAGTTTGAAATTTCACGCAGAGCTCAAACTTTACCTTCTACTCTCCCAAAGTTTTAATGGAAATTAATTTTAAACATTTTTTTACGTCATCACTCATCATTTAACAATAACACTATGAGTTTTTTTTTTGTTAAGTGATTTTATAGCTATATAATGATATATAATGATGTTAAGACTTGCTTACCTTATACTTAAATATCTTTTTACTTTCGATATGTTCTTACATTGCACATATGTTTTCGAGATAATAGCAAACACCTAAGCTTAAATGATTTTCGATAAAACTTGTCCAAAGACCTCTTATAAGGATCCGTAGGTTTTATCCCTTTACGGCGCTGAATAGCAGATCTGCATCATACCAGTCGAACCCGCAAAGTAGTTCAAAGAAACGAAAACTACACTTTATAATTGTAAGTAGTCGCCATGGCGCTATTGCGTGATGGCGCTTTGGCGCTATTGCGCTATGGCGCTTTGGCGCTATTAAGTATTAATATCTAGCGGCAACTAGTTCTAGCAGCAGCGCTGTTGGGAGAGGACGTGTGACGCAAATTTGATCTCGTAGCGCGCTGTTCATCGCGCGCGACCTAATTTAATGTTAGACGTTGTTTAGTTAGTGTATACTGTATATTTATAAGTGATCAAAGGACACAGTTGTGATAAAAGAAGCCTAACTTATGTTTTTAAATGTAAATAAAATATAGATACAAAAGTGTATATAATAGTGTATATAAATAGTTGATTTTTATAAATACAATCAATAAACTTTTAAATACACCTTTATTTGATTTATAATTTATATTAAGCCCTTACAAGTCCACGCTAACATAGGCCTCCCAGACAACAGCCACCCCCTCCGGGCCCCCCACCCCCTCCTCTATACGCCCCGCCCCCCCCACCCCCCCTACCCCTCCCCTTGCCCCAAAAAACCCCAAACAACCCCCCCAACCCCCCCCCCCACCCCCCCAGAACACCCCGGTTAAAATGATGTTTATATCAATTATAATAAAAAATAATTAATTTTATTTCGATTCTAATAATAAATTCTATTTTAAATAGTACATAACTTAAAAATATTTTTAGGATTATAGAAATTAGTAAGCCTGAAAAGTATGAAAACGCGTCTATTGGTTTTTCTTTATCGCTTTATTTTATTTCAGTCTAAAATGCGACTTATTACGAAATAATGTTTTTATATAGCACGAGATTTATCCAACGAACGACATGTAATGTAACGTGCTAAGAGATATAACGTGCTGCAAAACACGTGCTTACCGGCCTCCTACACGCTTTCTTATAAATAGCGCGCTATAACATAGCGTATTTAATAGCGCGCTAGAAATTTATAGTTTATAGTCTGTACCGTGCTATTGATTTATAGTCGTTTTGAACAACTTTATTTATAACGCAGCATTGCATGTCCGCAGCAAAGCATTCTATCGAAATAAATACCAAAATTTGTGACAGATGGCGCAATTTAAAATTTTTGACCAGTCGAAGTGACCAGTCTACGAGAACCGGTGTGTGTAATTAGCGCGCGAATTTCGTGTTGTTTTTTAATAGTTATATTGAAAATATTGAAGTAAAATTGCTGTGGAGTAACGGTAAGTTATTGCTTTTCAATAATAACATATAATTCCAACTATTTATATTGTTTTTACAGAGATAGTTTTGATTTTTGTTTTGATGCAGTAATGCATCATAGCGCTAAACGGTTATAATTTATTTATTTTTTGCTCATATGCATATTTTCTTATTTCAGGCCCAATATGAGTTCGAGGATTCCACGTTCAGGTCCTAGGCTTCCAATTTTGTCGTCCGACGACTTGGAAAGCATTTTAGAACAATGGCAAGATAGTGAGGATCGCTCAGATTTCTCAGACGACGATGATGTAGAAAGTAATTAATACATTAAAGTACATTATTCGTGTATTTATTTGGTGCAAAATACATAATTAATTAGTACTTACATGTTTATGCATGTAAACTTATTTAAAATTCACCACCTGCCAGCACTTCACACTTTGAATAATTTTTACAACAGAATGTTTCAACTAGAAGAAATAAGAACTGCTCAAAATACTCTAGAGGAATACTTTTCTAAAAGGATGGCTGAGTTGGAAGCACAGCTGCATACTGGGGGACCCGCTAAAGACACTGTTGCTGCACTGTTGAACTCATGTACTCAATGCTTGGGATGCTTCACAAGCAGATTATTGAGTGCTCTCGTATTGTAGATGTCATCGAAACCAGGCATCGTCGTAAGGCTCTCATTTTCCTCGGTGTTACTGAAGAAGAGAAGGAAGATTGTAAAGCCACTGTTGTGAGCATTTTTCGCAAGATGCAGTTAACAGACATTACAGCCTCTAGCATCAGAGTTTGTCACAGGATTGGAGCAGCCAGTAAAAACCATCAACGACCAATCTTGGTACGGTTTGTTGACATTGACTCTAGAACATCGGTGTGGAGGTCAAAGTCCAAGCTTAAAGGTTCATCGATTGCAGTTAAAGAATTCTTGACAAAGACCCGTCAAGCTGTTCATGCTAAAGCCCGGCAGCATTTTGGTATGCGAGATTACTGGACTCAGGACGGTGTAATTGCGGTGAAAGCTGCTGATGGATCCCGGCATAAGATCACTTCCCTAGACGAGCTGAACTCCTTAAAGCAGAAATACCCCAAATCAGCAGCTGAATCCTTGGTTGAGGGCAAGACCGCAGTTGTGGGATCAACGAACCCTCTCAAAATATACAAAAACTTATTTCTACTTTTCATTACCTTAATACAAAATTCTTAATTTTAAATTTTTTTAATGTAAAATGTATAAATTTTATTTTGCTTTATTTCTAGTATAGTAAACTCCAAAATGTTTCTAAGTAGTACTTAATGTATTTTTTTCTAAACTAATTATATCCTCCTTTCTTTTCTTTAACAATATTAAATACTAGAAATTCATTTATTCTCCAACTACAATAAAATGCTTTTGTCAATGATTTCAAAAGAAAGATAGGCCAATCTAAATATTTTACTTTTCATAAAAAGTAGCCATTAGATCTAGTAATTATCCTAATTGTACCATTATTTCATAGTTTGTAGTACATAGTATCGTAATAATACTAAGCGAAAATACCATAATTTTACCTAAAGGTCGACTTGTATAATTATTGGACCTTTTACATTTTAATATTAACCCTACGATATCGAGAACTCCTGTATTGTACATGAGTACCGCGTTTTTTTAATAAAATTAGAATTAGCTCCATTTCTGGTCAATCGATGCTCGATCGATGCATTTGTGTTGCATCCTTGATACAACTATAATTACCATTATAACTACCACGATAAAAACTCTATGCTCCAGAAGCAATCGGTTTGAAAACAGAATTTCAAAATATTTTATGAATCAGATTTTCAGATTCAACTAAGCAGATATGGTTTCTTTTGTACTCTTTTCGTTTTACCCTTATTGAATATAAAATATATTAGGTACCAATATTCAAAATTTAACTTACACTAAGTTCTTTAGACAAAAATTAAGCAGAAATAAAAATAAAACCGTCAAAAAACGAAACGTATAGATAAACTAGACGCGTGACGCCAAAATCCCGGCACATGAGAAAAACAAAAATAAAACATCAAACTTGATATATTTTTTTTAAATTATTTTATTTTATTTTCCATGTACCATATTTTTGAGGGTCTAAATCCAACCCTGGCCTAATCTTGGTAACGTAACTAAACTAACTGTAAAAGGAAAATTTAAAAATACGTTTATATAATAATTTAATGGTAACAAATTAATATAAGGTTATTTACCGATGATACGATATCCCATGTTTTTTTTTAAATCTTTGTATCATAATTTTTGCATTCTTTTACCACGCAACTAGACATATTTATGACAGACAAATCTGTCCTGCGCGCGCACCACTGTCGACCGATTCTCGTTGGCCCTAAACTGTAATTTTAGGGCCAACGCACTGGCCCGTTTTAGTTGTTCGGTCGGCCCGGTTCTTACGCTAGTAATATGTAAGTCAATGGCTTTTGTATGTTGTATTAATAATTGTCAGTTGCCATTTCTATTCTAGTGTAATGCCAATTTGACGTTTGACAACTTAAGGGTAATATTTCGAATTTCGGTAACCTGTCACGTAGTGTTATAGTTTATAGTCTATACACGTTGTGTACCGATTAACTCTATGAAATAATTTTGTCTGTGTTTTTTTTTTTCATTTCTATCTGTTGCAATACTCAATTCGATACTTATGTGTTTAACGTACATATGATTCGTGTTTTACATTATCTTTTTAATTCATTTTGCTTATTATTTGATAAGTTAGTAATTTAAGGTGCGTATGTTAGCTGGCGGGTGGTGCAGAGATGACAGTACGCCTTGGTTTACAACCTAAGTTAGGTACGTTTTAATAAAAATTTAATTTTATATATTTTATATCATATACTATATATATAAAAATCTATATTTATTTTTATGAACGCTGATGATGATTCTTTTTTTTTTCTGCCAAAGAAACTGCTACATCTATTGACGATAGTTTTTGTTCCATAACTGATACGCTGGGTGATTTTCTACGTCATACATTTGACCAGTCTAGTTCTTCGCTAAATGTGTGTCATATCAATGCAAAAAGTGTACCCAGCCACTACAGTGATCTCACTGAAGCCTTTACTCAAAACCAAAAAAACCTTTAAAAAAAAAACAACGTGAACGTTCATAGCCATCCTGATTTCGGAGAGCTGGTTGAAGCCCCATCTTCTTTCAACCACTTACCCCCTCTCTGGTTTCACTTTGATACGTAAGGATCGGGTTGATAAAAAAGGGGGTGGTGTTGCTATATACCTCCGCAGTGACTTATCTTATAAACTTCTGGCTTTCTCCTCACCCTTTTACTCCGCATCTGCTGAATTTCTTTTTCTTGGAGTATATGTGAAGGGAGCTAAAACCGTCCTTGGTGTTGTATATTGTCCCCCTCTGTTGATTACTTCTCCAGTCTCGAAACGACTCTTGAAATGTTTAGGGTCAGAATACTCACATCACATCATCATGGGTGATTTTAATACAAATCTCCTGGCTTCGCACTCATCCCGTTCCTATAAGTTCCTTCAAATAATTGAGTCGGTTGGCCTTCATGTTCTACCTCTACAAGCCACTCACCACAATGCGGACGGGGAGGACACGTGGCTCGATTTAATGCTTACCTCAAACCCCACCCTTGTCTCTACTCATGGTCAACATTATGCGTCTGGTTTCTCCCATCATGATCTCATTTTCCTTTCCCATATCCTGAAACCTCCTAAACCCTCACCTAAAATCCTTCACTTGCGTAGTTTTGGCCGTATGGATGTAGAGAAGTTGTGTCAGGATGCTTCTAAAATTAACTGGGACACAGTGACAGCCGCTCCCACGGTAGACGAAAAAGTTAGCGCATTTAATAACATATTAATTAATCTATATAATATGCATGCTCCTATTAAAAAAGTATAGCTAAAGAGGCTGCTAGCACCTTGGATGACAACAGAGATCCGCGTTATGATGAGGCGTAGAGACAGAGCCTTTCAGAAACATAGAAAACAGCAGTGTGTGGAAAATTGGTCCATTTTTAAAACTGCAAGAAATCGGTGTAACCAGATGATACGCAACGCGAAACGCCGATATATTCTTAACATCATATCCTCTTCCCCCGCAGATATCTGGAACTTCCTTGGAACCATGGGTATTGGTAAGAATTCTCATTCTGAGTTTCAGAGGACAATTGGTTTGGATGATATCAATCATCACTTCTCTTCACATACACCTCTGGATCACCAAACCAAGTGTCAAACTGTTAATCAGTTAGTGGGTTTACCTCGTCCTAATATCGCTTCTTTCCGCTTCTCTCCAATAGCTACGAATGAGATCAGGAAGGTTATATTCTCCATTAAGTCTAATGCTATTGGTTGTGACAATATCAGTCGTCGTATGATTATTAATATTATAGACCATCTCCTCCCTGCTATTTCCCATATAATTAACTTCTCTCTGGATTCTGGAGTTTTTCCGTCGCTGTTGCGTAAAGCTTACATTATATCTCTGTCAAAAATTTCTAATCCTTCTTTACCTAATCGCTTCCGACCTATATCCACTCTTCCCTTTTTATCAAAGGTGCTAGAGGCTTGTGTACACAAACAGCTATGACATTTTATCTTCTGGAATAACCTGTTAAGCTCATTACAGTCTGGTTTCAGGCCAGGTCATAGCACTATTTCCGCGCTCCTCCAAGTCACTGGTGACATTAGGGCAGGCATCGAGGAAACTAAAGTCACAGTACTGGTTTTGGTTGACTTCTCTAACGCCTTTAATGCCATCAGTCACGACATCCTATTATCAATCCTTTCACTTTCTATGATCTCATCTGAGGCTTTGCAGTGGTTCTCATCTTATAATCGAGGCCGCCAGCAGTCAGTTTTCATTGACGAGGCCTCATCAAGTTGGTGTGACTTGCATGCTGGTGTTCCTCAAGGCGGTATTCTATCTCCGTTGTTATTTTTAATATTTATAAATCTCATTACCCCAAATCTTCAGTGTGCGTATCATTTGTATGCTGATGACTTGCAGTTGTACTCTCATGCGAAGGTCGACTGTATATCTACAGCAATTGAGTCTCTTAATAAGGACCTAGAGTATATAAAAAACAGGTCTGACAAGTTTGGTCTTAAAGTTGACCCATCCAAATGTCAGGCTATAATAATAGGTAGCCAACGGATGATAAAGAAACTGGATCCCACAGCTTTACCGCCGATCATTTTTAACGGTTTTATTTTAGAACTGAGTAATACCGTGAAAGACATTGGATTGCACATTGACTCCACCTTGAGCTGGCAAACTCAAGTGGCAAATGTTTTTCAGAAAGTGACAGGTATTTTGCGTTCTCTATACCGCCTGAAGAACTTTCTTCCGTCCAGGACCAAGGACCAAGACGATTATTGTGCAGATCTTAATTTTTCCCATCGCTCTCAACTCAACTGGTTACCCATTCGTCAGCGCCGTAGTCTACGTGCACTCACTACTCTTTACACTAATTTGATGTCTCCTAATTCTCCATCTTACTTAACTCCTCATTTTCAATATCTTAGCTACCAGCCATGATAGAGTTCTCCGTTCTAGTAATAACCTTTTGCTTCAGTGTCCTCCTTTTAGTACTAATTTTGTACAATCATCGTTCTTTGTTCAATCTGTTCTTCTTTGGAACGCTCTTCCTTCCGAAATCAGGAGTGCCGAAAACCGGATTTCTCACTAGTGCAGAACTCGTCAATAAATGGCAGAATCAACTTAGCGTTCGTAGTTAGCCGTGTTTAATATTATATTTATAATTAAACTAATATTATATATATATATATATATATATATATATATATATATATATGTATTTAATTTTATGTACATAATGTTTATATATGTATATATTTATACGCTTATATATGTATGAGTTAAAAAAAAAATATATATATATATATATTGTACATACTTCTTATTACACCTACCTCTTTTATCTCTGCACTACTCTAAGGTAGACTGGTAGATAATGCCTCAGGCATTAAGTCCGCCTATATACATCCAATGTGTATATGAAGTTAAATAAATAAATAAATAAATGTAGCTGATCCATCGTACGCATTGGAGGTAAATGAACAAAATTTACGTCAAGAGTCAGATGAGGAGCCCAAAGTTCCCTACCCAGGAGAACAGGACGATAACATCTTGATAACGAACTCTGAAGCTAATACCAGCGCTTCAGCTCAACCATGTAAGACAGCAGCTGCCGTTCCACTACCCAGTACCAGCTCCGAAATCGGAACCACACCACGAAGCACATGTGTCCCTAAAACAAGTATCATACGGAAAACTAAAAACTTAGAGCTGAATGAAGACCAGGTGAGGTTTCGTGGATCTTCCAAGTTACCAAATGAAACACTGGAATCGAAGACGCCTTATCAGGCATTTTCTTATTTATTCACTGACGACATTGTGGATCTGATTAGAGACGAAACTAACCTGTACAACGTGCATAAAGATGCCAATAAACCTATAAACGTCACAAGCCAGGAAATAAGGGAGTTTGTTGGAATTACTTACTTCATGTCCATAATTCATCTGCCTAATGTGCGAATGTACTGGTCAGAGAAATATGGCTATGCCCACATACGCGAGACGATGCCGCTAAAACGGTTCGAGTTTCTGAGGCAAGTACTACACTTCAATGATAATTCTAAAATGCTACCATATGGTCAGCCAAACTCTGATAGACTGTATAAAATGAGACCCATAATGAACCCAAAATTAACAAATGTGTTCAACCAAAGCACGGAGTGCTCTAAAGCAGTATTTGCCAGACAAACCCCACAAATGGGGCTTCAAACTGTTCGTGATCTGTGGTGTAAGTGGATACGGTTACAAGTGTGAAGTATACAGTGGCCAGGAGAATATATGCGTAGATGGCGAGCCTCAATTAGGCGCCTCATACAATGTAGTAGTCCGACTTGCCAGAGAGATTCCTGACAACCAAAACTATCCACATACATCCCTACCTTTGATGGAGTTCTTATCACACCGTGGTATATTAGCTTTGGGCACCGTTAGGAGAAGCCGCATCCCTAACTGTAAGCTCCCAGATGAGAAACAGCTGAAAAAAGCACCCAGAGGCACGTCAGTCGAACAGGTTGCAATCTATAACGGTATTGACATATCAGTGGTGGCCTGGAGAGATAATAAAATTGTGAACCTAGTATCCAACTTTACTCGCAAAAATCCCACATCTTTTTTTTGTAAGTAGATTCGACAAGTCGCAAAAGAAACACAACAATGTGGAACGGCCTTTTATAGTGGCAGAGTATAGTCGTCACATGGGGGGTGTAGACCTTATGGACTGTGTAATGGGTCACTATAAAATAAAACTTCGTAGCAAACGTTGGTTTGTAAGACTCTTTTACCATTTTCTGAACATGACCATGACTAATTCTTGGTTATTATATAGAAGGATCCATGATGACACTGAAAATACTGAAAAGCTGCTAAGTTCTGCAGATTTTCGACTTGAAATTGCTGAAACATTAGTAAGATATAAAAAGACGAACCGCCTGAAGCGCACCAGTGACGTGGAAGCACTCATCCAAGACAAAAAGAAAAAAGGGCCTTGTCAACATATCCCGCCGAAAGATGATCGGCTAGACCAGTTAGGGCACTGACCAGTTTGGACGGAAAAAAGGCTTCGGTGTAAGTTTCCAGGCTGTACTGGAATAGCCCAAACCGAATGTGAAGTGTGGCGTAGCCTTATGTTTCAACAGAAATAACAACTGCTACGTTCCTTTCACAATTCGTAAGTTACGAAAGGACGGAATCCATTCACAACTAACGTTTTTATCTGTTTTCACACCATGATGCACATCTGCATCACGTTGTATTTTTCCAAAATAAATACTTTTTTTACATATGATTTTTTTAACTATTTTTTTCATTATTCTATCGCTCGCCTTAACCTATTTTCAATAAATAAATCAAAAACTAGTTCTTGCGCCGTAAAGGGTTATGTTTTATTTCCAATAGGACGAAGCTGCAAGTAAAAGCTATATAGTTAGTAATAATTTATGAGAGCGTTGTCCTTCCCTGACCGAGCCGAGTCTAATCATTCGTGCTGCAATTATGTTACAGCTGTAGCATTGCTTCAAGTCATTATTTAGTTGCAAAGTTATGAGAGCGAATGTTTGAAGAAAAAAAATACTTTCTTTATATACCATATGAATAATCGTTGAATACTTGTACCATATGACTGCCTCGTGGGTCTAGTGGTTGTAGTTGTGCGACTGCTGATCATGAGATCCTGTGTTCGAATCCTCGGTCGGGCCAAAAAATCAATTATTGAGTTATTCCGTCAAGAAATTCTCAGTAGTTGCTCGGAGTCAGGAAGTTGGCGGTGTCTCACCCCCGTGGCGGAAAGCACGTAAATCCTTTGCTCCTGCGCCTGACCTCCGATCCTCTCCGATCGTGTCGGTTTACCGTCACTTCGGATTATGAGAGTGAAGGTATAGAGAGTGCACCTGTGCTTGCGCATACACTTGTGCACTATGATCCTGTCCTGCGCTGATGGCTAGTCTCCGTTGAGGCAGACCGCCGTGATCGAAATTCGGTCTGGAGGACATTTTTACTGTTGTTATATGAATACTCTCATCGATCACGATCATCATCATCGTTATATCAGATCGTCACAAATTCACTGCTGAACAGTGGACCTCCGTGGTCATGTCAGAAAACGCTTATGGCTTTCGACAGATGGCGGTATAATCATATTGTTTGTCTTACGTAAAATACTAAGATCAGCAACAGAAAGCAGCGTCGCGTCAGTATGACTATCGAGTCAACAAGTCAATAGGAATAATTAATACGTCGATAATGCGATCCGCTTGGACGTGACGACTATGGCAAATTCTACATACAGTGGGCAAGTCCCGTGCCCAATAGTGGAATTTTACAAGTGGATAAAGAAGATGTCCTCCGTGACCACCCGTAACAAGAACCGTTACCAGGAGCGTAGCTACAGCCGTATCAGATGTATCAACGATACGGGGACCCCGGGCTACAGGGGCCTCGAAACGTGTCTACTTCTTCTTTTTTTTCTAGGATCTCTTCGTTTTTTTTATAGGATAGGGTGACAAACGAGCACACAGTCTACCTGATGGTAAGTGGTTGCTGTGGCCCATAGACATCTACATCTATCCTCGATTACGAATCAAAATGCAGATGCGTTCACCCGTGAGGTCTAAGATGGAATGCCTCGTTTCCAGTAAAAAGGGTCTCCGGTTCTCTACACTCACCACACGAAGCACAGCAGCACTAAGCTCCAATTTTACGCTGGTATTCTGTGAGAGCGTGGTCCTTCCCCGGTCGAGACGACCCATTCGTGCTAACACTTCTAATATAACTGCAGCATGGCTCTACCACGTAGAAAACCATATTCTCCATATTCTATAAAAATATATCAGCAGTAGGTAGCAGTATAAGAATTTCTACTATCCCATATCATTCCGTGGGTGTCGTAAGAGATGACTGAAGGAAATAAACCAGATCGGCGCGGTTGCAGCGCTTTCCTAATTACAAATAAAAATAAAAACTGCGGTGGCAAACCTGCCTGCCAGAAGTATAGCAGCTATGGCAAATATCCGCCTCATATAGCAATCTATGGTTCTATGGGGAGACTTATGTTCAGCTATTCAGACTATTTCAACGAAGTCTTAATGTGAGGCATGTCCGACATCAATGGTTTCCCACCATTAAGATGGTAATTAGGTAATTTTTTTGACACTGTTATTTATAATAGTAAAATTACAAGCAGGTTAACAGTATACCTGATGGTAACCAGCCACACACTATGAACATCATTAAAATCCTTTTTAAGCCCACGGTTTGATTATTGTTGTTTTTTTATATAGAATGAGGGTGGCAAACGAGCGCACAGTCCACCTACTGGCAAGTGGATACTCTGGTCCATAGACATCGTCTGAGGACTAAGATGGAATGCCTGGTTACCTGTAAAAAGGGCCTCCGGTTCTCTACACTCACCATACGAAACAGCACTAAGCTGCTATTTTATGCTGGTTTCTTGAAAGCATTACCCATGGTCACAATGTAGAGCCGGCGGTTTGGTGAACATGTTTGGATTCCCACGCACTAATGGAGCTTAATGCTGGTCCAAATCACTAGTCTTTAAGATTTAGGTTCATTATTTGAAGTCACTTCAAAAAAGGAGGTTTAACTATCTGTTTTTGTACGTATGGTGACTTTTTAACACGTTTTTTTAGCTTCGCGTGTATATCTATGTAACGGAATCTTTTAATGTAATTTTCGCCAAGTTGAACGGCCGAATGACTTGAAAATTTGTAAATACAATAACTGAATAACTTTATCCTAGTATCATGATCACTATCACCAGGATAAAATAAAATATTCAGCTTAGGATCGGTTCATGTTGTTAAGGTTTTTCTAAAGTCTTATATTATTTAATAAATACTTCAGGGGTCGTCCCATATTATTTTGAAGAAAAAATTTCACCCATAAAGGTAGGGAAACAGAGAATCAAGTTTTTATTTTATCTCTTCTATTTAGGCGATATTCTCATTACTTTGATTTTGTGATATTCCAAATCCAGGCAAATTCTTCAAAAAACTGTAGAGGCCGATGTCCAGGTTAATTCTCCTTAAAATGGTAGAGGACAATGTCCAGCCGTGGACTTTTTATTATAATCGTATCGGCTGTAATGAAAGAGTAAATGAATTTTCCTGTTATAACTGTTTTCTTTGCGTGCCATATTAAGTTCTTAAAACAAAATACAAAGTGTATGTATTTGTGAACACTTTGTATGAAAACCATTAGAAGTAGGAAGTCATACATTTTGAAAGGTATTTTATTGCGACGGACATTACGTCCGTACTTAAATATAGTTCTACTGCGTCGCCAACCTTATATGACCCTTGCAACATATTATACAATTAACTAAAATCAAATATGTGTATATTATATAAACGAAGACGGGGTTTTTTATCTGTGAGACTTGCTCACTAAAAATTCAAAGATTTGTTTTCTCTTTTGTAAATCTTTTAGCAAAGTAGCGCAGGAGCGCGAGCAGCAAAATTTTATTCATACAGGGCGAGTCAGTTTGATTTACCATTTAAGGCTCCATCACGGCTTACTACCAGGTGTGATAGTCAGTTATAGTTAAGGGTTGACCTTTTCTAATAATTCAAGTTCGTTGAATGTAAAGAACCAAAGATCCTTGTAAGTGGAAAGGAGGCATTCCATCTAGTCCTCAAGGGTGACAACGCATCTGCATTTTGATTCTCAATTGAAGATAGATCTAGATATGTATGGGCCACAGCAACCACTTACCATCAAGTGGACTGTGTGCTCGTTTGTCACCTATATTCTATAGAAATAAGTAAAAAAAGTTTTAGGTTCTATTTTCGAACATTAGTGGTACATATGTAGATACTTCTGGAAGTTTAACAGCTCTCCTGATGTTTAATGGTACACCTGCCCATGGACATTTGCAACCAACTTCAAACAAAGAAAGCTACAGGTATGTTGTGACTTCGACAACTTAGTAGGTCATATAAGTATTCGTTCCTTGCGGTATTTGAACACCGAACTGTCGTGAGAATAATGTCATAAGTATCGTTCTAATACAGAACAATTCACGTCATAATCATTTGTAGGACTGTCAATTTGCAACAAGTCAAAACTCGGCATTGGCGTAACTGCTAAAGCTCGATAGTATATTTTACAAAACGTTACAGAGATATGGAATTTTGGAGCGGTTATAATCACAAGTTTACGAAATAGTGTGGCTAATTTTCCGCTTAGGTGTCTAGGTGCCTTTTTACCAAATTCGCCATTAATTAGCGATCCACTGCAGTGTCGATCTATAGAGCAAGTGAATCAGTATAAAGCCGTGTGACAATACAAGTGGGTGTCGCAAGAGGTGTTACAGGGAAACTTAAACATGAAATCGGCAGTACTATGGTCCTAATCGCAACTCAAAATTATTAAAAACTACTGTTGGTAACCTGCCTGCTAAGTGTAGCAACTATCGCAAAGTCCCCCCTATTAAGCAATATATGGAGGAGGCCTGTTTTCAGCGGTGGAATTGGCTGTTTGATTAGAATTGGAAAATCTTTTCTCAGCGAATAAATTTTTTTCACTAAAGTTTCATTTTTGTTTTTTCATATGATTTATGCAGAAGTTGCATTTGTGTAAATGAATGTTGATTTTAAAGATTGTTGGCTTGACCAATTAATAAATAAAATAACATTTTTCGAAGTGGTTTCTATTTTATTTCCTGAAAACCTTATGTGTCCGCCACTAAGGGACTTTCACCTAAATCCTCTTTCTTTTTTTATCGGCCCATAAAAGTTTACTGCTGGACGCTTTTAAATTGACTTATAAAAAAGTTGTTGATTGCAAATATGTTTAGATGCATATGTGTGCATGAGTGCGTGTTTTTAGATTAATGTGAGCATGGTTTCGATTCAGTTGCGGCGTCACTTAGATGTCACGGCGATACTATGGAAATTTTTACTTGTCTATGTTGCTAAAATGTTCTTTACGTTACTAATATTCTCTCAAATACTTTCCCTTTAACTGTATGTAAGACCGCCTACTTGGTCTAGTGGTCGTAAACAATATTTCATGAGGACCT